TTTTTCCAATATAAATTTTTAAAAACAGATTTGTAGAAATCATTAAAAAGCATAAAACTTGACATTACTAAATTACATGACATGACAAGTCATGCCACAAAGAAGTGATAGGATCACTTCCTTCCAATGCTGCCACAGAGGAAAAAAGAGGGAGTGCTAGGGGGAAGGGTAACTTGTTACAGTGTTTTTTTAAATAAAATGTTTTTTTTAATTATTCCTACACTGACACATACATATACACTGTCAGTGTGTTCAATGATTGTATGTCAGACACACAATCATTGGAGCACACACAGTTTACCCGATACACTTCACTAACAGATATACACACTAACTGACAGACACACTCACTAATTTGACAAACACTTATTTGACACACTGACATACACTAATTTGACAAACACTGACAGACACACACAAACTCACTGACAGGAACACACTCACTCACTCACTGACACACAAATTCATTGACAGACACACACACACTCACTGACTGACAGACAAACACACTCACTGACAGATACATACACACTCACTGACAGACACAAACACATACTCAATGATATTGACACACACACTCACTGATTTGACACACTCACGCATATACATTTTCTTACACACATTCACAAATTAAGTTTATTTATAAACTTTTTTTTTGTTAGGCCCTCTCAGCTTCCCTGCCTTTGGGAGAGTTGCTGTAGGCCCCGTCCTTGGGGTCTAGTGTGGGCCTCCTAGAATCCTCTTGTTCTTTCCTCACTACTCCATTGCACACTTTTTAGTGATGCCGGGCCCAGGACTACAGCATATTCTGGCTGATGCACAAAGGGCACGCAAGGGAGCAGTAATGTTGAGCAGGAGCATCAGTGCTCCCTCGCCACCCATGCTCAGCCCTCACTAGACCCACTGTATTTTGGCAGAGTAGGCATCTGCTGTTTAGGTAAACATATGCCTACTCTGCCTTAGCGTACAGCAAGCCGCCTCCTTGGGGGCCAGCTCATGGACCCCTGACAGGGGTAAACACAGAGGGCCTAGTTGTACTCACAACCTCAATGACCCCTTTAGTTCCACCACAGACTAAACCCTCAGTGGCTGGGCGCCCCAGGCTGCAGCCTAGTTTGCCTAACGGTAGTGATGGCGTTAGTTGAGCGGAATAATGCTATACATATTTTATTTTAATATTTAGATTTCACTATGTGAAATTTATTTATGTTAGTGAAGGCAGTGTTGTACAAACTATGCAAATTTTCACACAAAGTGATAATTAATAGCATGTAAATAAAATTGAATTAAAATAGATAGCAGACAGCTTGTAACAATATATTCTTTTATATATAATTAGTACCTGTAGGAAAGTGTTTTTTTGTGTGTGTTGACATGTCTTTACATTCATTGAACCATACAGCAATATTGTCAGTATTGGAGAGATACAAATGATCAAGAATCTTCAAACAAACAGTATAGGCAGTTTTCAGCAGTGTACAAAGGCATTACAGGAAGGACAAGTGACAAATGTTTAGGACATGAGGCCTGAATAAGAGACCTTCTGGCAACGTAAAACCATGAGGCAAATATATAACCAAAACAAATATAACTTGTACGACACCATTCCACCATATTACACTCTGTGTTTACTACTGTATACAAATGTAGCTTTAATAATGCATGCTATTATGTTATTGCACAGTGTACATATGTACAGACACTTCCACACGTATCTCTTAGCCTCTGTGTCTGTCACTTCAGTCTTGTATCTGTCATCTCCATATATACAGCCATATTACCCCCAACCTATAGTCTCACCACACCACAATGATATTATTTTGGATCCATATTATACCACAGCATATTACACCCAACACAGTTATATATATATATATATATATATATATATATAGTTAATACAATGCTAAACAAAAATCTGCACACCAGTCAAGCCATAAGACTTGCTTTTCCCACAGAAATCCCAAATCAGCAGTGATGTTACAACCGCAAAGGATTCTGGGTGGGCATATGCAAATTAGTTTAACAAAGAATCACATTTTTGCCTCATTCCATTTTAAACATGGATTCCTTTTAATTTGTGTTTGCAGTATACAACTGCTTGGAACACAATTTGGGATAAGATGCAAAACCAGTGAACCACTCATGGACAGCTGTTTCGTTGTTAATGCAACTCTTCAGCATGAGGTTGGTTACTGGTTTGCTAATTGAGGCTTGGTAGTGCTTGGGAAGCAAAATCTAAAAAGGTTATGGTGGGGAAAAATTGTGATTGAAAAACCCTTCCACCTGAAGTATGTGGATAGTTAATACAATGCTAAACAAAAATCTGCACACCAGTCAAGCCATAAGACTTGCTTTTCCCACAGAAATCCCAAATCAGCAGTGATGTTACAACCGCTAAGGATTCTGGGTGGGCATATGCAAATTAGTTTAACAAAGAATCACATTTTTGCCTCATTCCATTTTACACATGGATTCCTTTTAATTTGTGTTTGCAGTATACAATTGCTTGGAACACAATTTAGGATAAATATAACCCTCCTCCCATGTATAATCATATGGCAGTTCCCATACCCATATTCCATTCCATCCCTTACGGCAATATATCTATCCCCCCATACTACCATATTTCCATGATAACAAAGTCATATTACCTCATATACTGTTACATTCATATAATCTCAAATCACCAAAGCATTAAAGGACCACTATAGTGCCAGGAAAACATACTCGTTTTCCTGGCACTATAGTGCCCTGAGGGTGCCCCCACCCACAGGGACCCCCTCCTGCCCGGCTCTGGAAAGGGGAAAGGGGTTTAAACTTACCTTTTTCCAGCGCTGGGTGGAGAGCTCTCCTCCTTCTCTCCTCCTCCGTTCCGCCCCGTCGGCTGAATGCGCACGCGCGGCAAGAGCTGCGCGCGCATTCAGCCGGTCACATAGGAAAGCATTCATAATGCTTTCCTATGGACGCTGGCGTGCTCTCACTGTGAAAATCACAGTGAGAAGCACGCAAGCGCCTCTAGCGGCTGTCAATGAGACGGCCGCTAGAGGAAATAGGGGAAGGCTTAACCCATTCATAAACATAGCAGTTTCTCTGAAACTGCTATGTTTATGAAAAAATGGGTTAACCCTAGCTGGACCTGGCACCCAGACCACTTCATTAAGCTGAAGTGGTCTGGGTGCCTAGAGTGGTCCTTTAACCTGATAGTCTAGTGATGGACGCATGGACATTTCAAACACATGTTGAAGTACCAGTCACTGCTCTTGGTGTGTAAGAATAATATGAGAGAACACTCACAGGCAATCTTTGCTGGTGCACAGGAAAAGGTTTCATGTCCATGAAGTCTCCGTAAGACAGCAGAAATGTCCAATCAGCAACGTTGCTTCATTTTCCAGGTTCCAGGAGATAATAGGTGCTTTTAAACAACTTTGGAACAATAAAAACAACAATTGCTTTGCTTGACTGTTTACCTTTGAGGGAACACTGATTGTGTGTATTTGCTAATTAGGGGTGATTGATGGGAATGAACTAAATATTGTCATGAAAAATGCTGTGAGAAGGTATTAAGATTCTTTACATAACTATGCAATAAATTCACCAGCGGTAAAAAAATAAATGCTATTCTGCTGTTAGATGGCGATACAGGAGTGTTTTCTTAACCCTAAAATGTAAAACAATGTGTTCTGCTCTGTTTATGAAAAAATATACTTTTTTTTTTTTACATAAGTCTTTTTTTTCTATTTTAGGAAACAGTTTTGGTTCCAGTCTTAATCAACTCATATAAAAAAAAGAAAGAGTAAAAACAAAAAGGAGAAAAACGTGATCAGGACTTATGTGCAATAAATTGAAACTACAAGATTCACAACGCAAGCTCTGTTTCTTTTTACATAAATTATTTATATATTTCTAATTTATTGAACAATTCCACTGCATGAAAATATTCTTTGTATAAATATGCTATTCATTTAAATGAGTTGTTGCCAGTGAATATTTTTATTAGCAGATTTTACCTTATATATTAATGTATTGAAATGTATTTAATATATCAGGTGCCATTTTCTTGCTCCTCCAGTTCTTTTCACATTTCTATTAATTTTATGATTTTGTCACTATTTAAATAAAGGTGATAATAAAGAACTAATACTTCCATGTGATTTTTAGATAAGTGTAAATATTAAAATTGATTATCTACAGTGAGGGAAAAAAAGTATTTGATCCCCTGCTAATTTTGAACGTTTGCCCACTGACAAAGAAATGATCAGTCCATAATTTTGATGGTAGGTGTATTTTAACAGTGAGATACAGAAAAACAAAAAAAATCATAAAAGAAGTTATAAATTGATTTACATGTCAATGAGTGAAATAAGCATTTGACCCCTTCGACTTAATACTTGGTGGCAAAACCCTTGTTGGCAATCACAGAGGTCAGGCATTTCTTGTGGTTGGCCACCAGGTTTGCACACATTTCAGGAGGGATTTTGTCCCACTCCTCTTTTGCAGATCCTCTCCAAGTCATTAAGGTTTCGAGGCTGACGTTTGGCAACTAGAACCTTCAGCTCCCTCTACAGATTTTCTATGGAATTAAGGTCTGGAGACTGGCAAGGACACTCCAGGACCTTAATGTGCTTCTTCTTGAGCCACTCCTCTGTTGTCTTGGCTGTATGTTTTGGGTCATATTCATGCTGGAATACCCATCCACAACCCATTTTAATGCCCTGGCTGAGGGAAGGAGGTTCTCACCCAAGATTTGATGGTGCATGGCCCAGTCCTGTCCCCTTAGCAGAAAAACATCACCTAAGCATCATGATTCCACCTCCATGTTTGACAGTGGGGATGGTGTTCTTGGAGTCATTTTTCCCTCACTGTATGTAAAAAACAATAGTAACGCTGAACTTTTGGAAAACAAAATCCTTAATGTACTTACATTTTCTCTCTAACCTTATAGTGGTGTAGTGGATGAGCGTTAATAAGCTAATATAGATTTTCCTTCTGCAGAGATACACTATGTTACTTTACTGTTATGGAGCATCATTGGCAACCCTAATATTTGCTCAGCTTATCAGTAAATGCTTAGTCACAAATATATAGAAACACAAACATATATCTACAAAAATGAACAAAGATTAAATAGGGCAGTAAAGCAAGAACACACAGTATATAGAATTGAATGTTGAACTCACAAGAATGGAATAAATGAAGGCTCGTCTCATATGGTAGTAACCTCTCAAGTATAGGGTCTTCTGAATTCTCAGAAATGCATGTAAAAGAAATGGTGGGAAACCATAGGGCAACACTGTAAATTGACAATACAACTTCTTTATTGTAAAACACTTGCAAGATAAAATGTGATACAAAGTCCACCAACATATGCCTATAGGAACTGGATCCGATGATCAAGTGCAAATGCAGCATAGTGTAGATCTTCCTCTCCTCAAGGTAAATATGTATAAATGACATATAAGTAATACAATGCTATTTAAAAAAACAAGAAACAGTGAAAATTAATAAATAAGCCCTATGAGTTTTGTCTTGTTAAAATACTTCCTCCAGGGTATTAAAATTCCAAGTGTCCACTGAAGTTACAGCAACTTCAGTGGACACTTGGAATTTTAATATTCACAAAATAGCTGAAATGGGAAAAATAACCTCCATTACAACTCCGATATAGTCCCAGCTTGTCTAGTTTATCCTAAATTACACAATAAATGTTTATGTTACCTACAATTGTCTGCTTTGCTTTGATTTGTTAATTTTCTAATTTTATTTCAACTGAAGGACTTGATTTACTATTGTTGGCTACGTTTACCAAACTATTTAATATTTTTGGGTATACTTTTAAAATGAGTTTTTCAAAATATTAAAATAGAAAAAAAATGAAAAAAAATATTTAAAAAATCTACTGCAAAATGAAACTATTTGTAATCACATTAAATAATTTTAAAAGGTTATTCAATAATATTAAATAATTTGGAAAGCTAATCCAACAATATTAAATTGAGAATGAAGTTTGCAAAATACAGATTCAAACAAAACGAACTTCATCCAAAAGTTTTTTTATTTGGAACCCCCATTATTCCTTAAGGGGAATGAATGAACGGGGCAAAATTATAAACCCTATAGGAGATACCTAGGGCTAGCTAGGAGATACCAAGGGCCAGTGTAAGGATTTTTGATACCGTAGGCAAATAATTTGTTGCTACCCATCCATGATGTGACATCACATGAACCATGCCCCTCTCTCTCTCTCTTTTTTTTTTTAAATCTTTTTATTCATTTTCATATTTAACATAGATATGACAATGACAATAATACAATTATGATTTAAGTACAAAATAATTCACATACAAAGACAAATCTGAATCCTGGCTAGAGTAGCACTGGGGAATAGGAAATCTTTAATAAATGCCGAAAGGGATGGTGGAGTTCTTAAGTTTTTTTCAGGGTCTCTGAACTCCCTTGTTTGGGTATCAAGGACTATTATTCAATTGTCCCATATATTATATTTCTTATATTTAGTACAAAAGTTAGAGGCAATTGCATGTTCCATTCTGCACTGGAATTTCACCCTTTCTCTAATTTGTGGCCACATGTCTACTTTATCAGTTTATCAGTTTTCCATTTTTTTTGCAATGGAACCTTTAAAGTAAATCAAAAAACATTTTTTATTTTTAGGAAGCATTGGTAGATTTAGATGGAGAAGGGCCATATCCGCTGTCCAAATATGATTCAAATTAAGCAGGTTGTTAATTACAGAAAATATTATGTCCCAGGCTCTTGGAATTATTGGACATGCCCACGATACATGGCTTTTATCTGCCCTCTCAGAGCCACATCTCCAGCACATATATTTATTCTTTGGGTACGTCTTCGTTTGTTTCCAAGGTGTTACATACCATCTATTTGCTATTTTATATTGGGCCTCCGTTAAATTAAGACAGTGTACTAGTATAATGTTTCAACAGCAGTAAACCAGTCCTTTGTATCTTTCTGAATATTTAGATCTCAAGCCCATTTTTATTTAACTTTAGAGCATTTTTTAACTTTAGACTCCATCATAATTTACATTTGGACAATGATTTTGAATCCTTCCCCTGTTCAAAGATATTATTTAATGTTTCCAATGGACTTGGTAACTTGCTCTTGAACATTGCTGAATTTAAATAACGTTTAATTCTAATATAATTAAACACCTCCTGGTCGAAAATCTTATAAAGATGTTGTAAGTTTTGAAACGTTATGGGTCCCTCCTTATTCCATATCATTGAGACCTTTGTAACCCCCAGCTGTATCCACTTTGTAACATCTAGATTCTCCATCATGTACATCAAATAGGAGATAGACAATGCTAGTAAAATCCCATTTTTTTAAAGTTTGAATAATTTTTAAAATGGTTCCAGTAGCTTAATAAATTCTGTATGATTAGATTGCCCATAGGGTTTTCTTTCTGTTTAATATTGTATTTACTGCAACTATGTGGCCGCAAATAGTTGATCATTTTCATTGTGTGGACTATCGTCCTTTCTTCCATCTCATACCATCCTTGGGATTTATAGGCTCTTTGGTATATTAGGGCAATCAATCCTTCCATATTTCTTATTTAGGTCCAAGACTTCTCTACCTATAATATTTTACTGAATCATTAAACTAAATAAAATGAACCTCTGGAACTCAAGCAGTTAAAATCCAAAAACATTTAAAGGGACACTGTAGGCACCCAGACCACTTCTGTCCATTGGAGTGGTATGGATGCCAACTCCCATCCCCCTTAACCCTGCAAGTGTAATTATTGCAGTTTTTATAAACTGCAATAATTACCTTGCAGGGTTAAGTCATCCTCTAGTGGCTATCTATCTGACAGTCACTAGATGGACTTCCGGTTTCTTAGATGACTTTTGGTCGTCTAAACGATGCTGGACCATTTTAAATCCCCAGAGGGAGAATAAAGTTATTTTGGATTTTAACTGTTGGAGCTCCAAAGGTTTAATTCTTATTTGGATTTTTCACTGTGCTGGAGAGACTATCCTTTAAACTCGAGATGGAATAAGTACATTTTATATGTTTCACATCTTTACATGTATATTTAAGAGCAATACATTAAAGATATTATATAACCATTATCCCTAGAGAGGGCAAGAATGTGGAGCACTATATTATTATTATTATTATTATTGCCATTTATATAGCGCCAACGGATTCCGTAGCGCTTTACAATATTTTGAGAGGGGGGGTGTAACAATAAATAGGACAATTACAGGAAAACTTACAGGAACAATAGGTTGAAGAGGACCCTGCTCAAACGAGCTTACAGACTATTGGAGGTGGGGTATTTGAAACATTAGGACAATAAATATCAAGTAGGAGTGAAGCAGAGCTGGAGGAGAGAGCAAAGCACTGTCCCATAGGAGAGAGCAGGAGACAGGTATGTAAGGTAGAGATTACTCTGGGAGGCCATAAGCTTTCCTGAAGAGATGGGTTTTAAGGCCCTTCTTAAATGATTGAAGACTAGGGGAGAGTCTGATGGCAGTAGGCAAGCTATTCCATAGGAGAGGAGCCGCCCGCGAGAGGTCCTGCAAGCGCGAGTTGGCCGCACGGGTGCGAGCGGCGGTCAGGAGGTGGTCACGGGCAGAGCGGAGGGTACGTGGAGGGGCATATTTATGGATCAGTGAAGAGATATAAGCGAGGCTAGAACTGTTCAGTGCTTTAAATGTATGGGTTAGCACTTTGAATTGACTCCTATAGCATACAGGGAGCCAATGTAAGGACCGGCAGAGGGGTGAGGTGTGAGAGGACTGACTAGAGAGGAAAATCAGTCTAGCTGCAGCATTCATTACAGACTGTAGCGGGGCAATACGGCTTTTGGGGAGACCAATCAGGAGAGGGTTACAGTAATCCATGCGTGAAATTACTAGAGCATGGACAAGCTCCTTGGTAGCATCTTGCGTAAGAAAGGGGCGAATGCGGGCTATGTTTTTGAGTTGGAACCTACAGGACTTGGCAACAAACTGGATGTGAGACTCGAAGGTGAGACCAGAGTCAAGTATGACGCCAAGACAGCGCGCTTGCAGGGATGGACTTATGTGGATATCACTGACTTGAAGGGAGAGCGAGAGAGGAGGATCAGTATTAGGAGGAGGAAAGACAAGGAGTTCAGTTTTAGAGAGGTTAAGTTTCAGAAAGCGTGAAGACATCCAGTCAGAGATGGAAGAAAGGCAAGCAGTGACACGTTGCAGGACAGCAGGGGAGAGGTCCGGGGAGGAGAGGTATATCTGAGTGTCATCAGCGTACAGGTGGTAGTGGAATCCAAAAGAGGCAATCAGTTTACCAAGAGAGGCGGTATAAAGAGAAAATAGAAGGGGACCAAGGACAGACCCTTGGGGAACTCCAACCGAGACACGAGTGGAGGAGGTATCCTTGGAAAAGGAGACACTGAATGAGCGTTGGGAGAGATAGGAGGAAAACCAAGAGAGGACGAGTCACAGAGACCGAGCGATTGAAGAGTTTGAAGGAGGAGAGCATGATCAACGGTGTCAAAGGCAGCAGAGAGGTCAAGGAGAATTAATATGGAGTAATGACCTTTGGATTTAGCGGAGATTAGGTCATTAGTCACTTTGATAAGAGCAGTCTCAGTAGAGTGGAGAGGGCGGAAGCCAGACTGAAGAGGGTCAAGGAGAGAGTTGGAATTAAGGAAGTGGGACACACGGGTAAAGACAAGCCTTTCCAAAAGCTTTGATGAGAAAGGGAGCAGGGATATGGGACGATAGTTAGAAGGGGAGGATGGGTCAAGAGATGGTTTTTTCAGGATAGGTATTACAGTGGCATGTTTAAGGTCAGCAGGAACAGTGCCAGAAGAGAGAGAGCAGTTTAAGATGTGTGTTAGGGTAGGCACAAGACAAGGGGAGAGAGATCTGATGAGGTGAGATGGGACAGGATCGAGCGGGCAAGTGGTGGGGCGAGAGGAATGGAGAAGCGCAGCCACCTCTTGTTCAGTAGCTGGGTAGAAAGTCTGGAGGGTAGGGAAAGCAAGATTTACATGTGGTTGAGAAAGAGAACGGCAAGGAGGGGAGAATTGTTTCCTTAGCTGTTCAATCTTGTCGGTAAAGTAGCATGCAAAGCTATCAGCTGTAAGGTTAGTTTGGGGGGTGGCCACAGCAGGGCGGAGAAGGGAATTAAAGGTGTCAAAGAGGCGTCTGGGATTGCGGGAGCATGAACTAATGAGAGAGGAAAAGTATGACTGTTTGGCGAGGGCGAGGGCTGCGCTGTATGAAAGCAACATGAATCTATAATGGAGAAAGTCTGCCTGGGTGCGGGACTTCCTCCAGGAGCGTTCAGCACAACGGGAGCAACTCTGCAGATAGCGTGTTGATTTATTATGCCAAGGTTGGGGTTGTGTCCTCCTCGAGGTGCATGTTTTGAGTGGGGCTGCAGCGTTCAAGGCAGATGTGAGGGTAGTGTTATATGTGGAGATGGCCAGTGAGGGACAGGAGAGGGAAGGGATGGATAGCAGTTGTGAATCAATGTCA